GTATCAAAATGAAGAGATTTTTGTTGAGTGTGCTGCGGTAATTTTTTCGATTCGCACTTTGATGTTTTACAGTTGCCCGGTTTTTTAGTCTCGCTTAAGCCGTGAGTCAATTCTTTATTTATTCTTTATTATCTCTAGGATAATCGTTCCATTGGTTTTCTCATATTGTTGTAAGATTAGCTGAAATCTTTTGATATCGTCGGTTGCTATTTTCTCTCATTAAACTATTCTATTTTCTCTCATTAAACTATTACAATTTTCTCTCATTAAACTATTATACCTTCTGCAAGAGTTAATAAGCGCACTTTGTAAACTTATACCATCTGCAAGAATAGACGCACTTTGTTAACTTGTACCATCTGCATTTTGTTAATAGACGCACTCTGTAAATAGCGGATTTCTATTGCACTAATTACGCAAAGGCAGAGAGAATAATATCATATTTAGGTTTTTTTTTTTTTTTTTTTTTTTTTTCTTCTATCTTTCTCCGCCTTTATTTCTCGCTCATCATCAAGGCAACAAAAAATGTTTTTTCTTTCGGTATTTTACAAATCTCTTAAATGATCTGTTGTTTTTCAGCGTGTTGTTGTGTAACCCATATTTTTTTTAAGGCGAACTGTTTCAATAAAAGTTGTTGTTGACACGATAAAGTTTGGCTTAAAAACAAAATTGGCTGTGACATTCTATTTGCTCAAAGTGCAACTTCATCAATCATTCATTGAAATCCTGTGAATTTCACTGAAATATTGTATTAGTGCTCGTCTCTGTTAAACCATCTGGACTGCATCCCTTCCTTATTTGAGTTGCAATTCAAAATAACGACCCCTTTCTTCCGAAGTTATCTATTTTTTTTTTGGGATTTCTTTTCTCTCTCTAAACCTCTATTGGAAATTGCTGAATTTTAGATAGGAAGAGTCTCATAACTGCTGCCAATGATTAATTATTTGCTGCTACATATTTTTTTATATGCTTGGATTGTAATTTAAGAATATTTCTACATATTCTATTTAGATAATAATTATCATTGCTTAGCTTAATTATCCTATGCTTTTATCTCTCTGAGTTGAAAAATTTCATGATCTTGATTTTATGAATTCAATTTTTGTGATTATGTTGTGCCATAATTTTGTTGAAAAATATTAATTATTATTGTAGACTCTCTATCTAGAGCTAAAACATATTATTATGAAAATTAATCTTATGCAAGAATTACACAAAGTAGATTGTTGCCTTAACTTTTGATTTTCTTGCATCACAGCACTGTGAACATAAACCTTGTGAGATAATTTTTCATTGAAGTCACTACTCATATAAAGTCGGCAACATATTGATTTGACTAGCAGAAAACCCTGCTCTTAAATACAATTAAATTTTTTTAACCTTTAGGTATTATCTAAAACTTTAAAATGGCATCTAAGCTAGTCATATCAGAACTATCCAAACTTGAAAACCTCAATAGAACCAATTTGTCTGTGTGGAATATATTCTCTTTCAAGATAGAGCAGATTATGTCCTAGATACAGAATCACCTTTTTGAGAGCCTAATGCCAATGGTCAAGCCAGAAGGCGACTTAACAAATGGTTAGAAGATGACAAAGTAGCTACGACTATTATGTTAACATTTATGGAAGGCGATTTAATTAAAGTCTTTGAGGATCACACCACAACTCAAAGTATGATGAGTGCCCTATCTGAAAAGTATGGAACTACTTCTGAGACCCATGTCCGACTATTGTTAAAAAAATACAATTCTTGCAAAATGAAAGAATCAGATTCATTGACAGAGCATGTCAATAACATAACAGTGCTCGCAAAGGACCTTGCTGCCAGTCCCCGACCGCATGCAAGTGTCCATTGTCCTTAATAGTCTCCTTCCATCTTGAGAGCTTATTGTAATTGCATTGAACATTATGCATACGGGATAACAATATTAAATCTTCCCTCGCATCTCAGTATTGAAGCTGAAAGGTGAATGAAGAAGAAGTCAAATGAGCTCCACTGTGCCCAAAGTTCATCTTCTCAAATCCTTGAAAAACCCTACAATAGTAAGAAAAATAATAGGTATAAGGGAAAGTGGAGAAATTTTAAAAATCAAAAGAATGAGGTTGAGAAGACATGTTCTTATTGTAAGAAAATTGGGCACATCAAGTTTAATTGTCCTAAGCTGAAAACAAAAAATAAGAACCAAAATAACAACCATGCGCGAAATAATCAAAATAAAAGAAATGACTTGATCTGCGTAGTCCTAGAATTATACCTGAGAAATTGGTGGGTCGACTCAGCCTCCACTGGACATATCTCGAGGACTAATGACGTATTCACAAAGTTGAAGGAGATTGTCATCGGTAACTAGCGGATTTACATGGGAAATGACACACTGCGATGTACTAGGTGTCGATACTTTTAAGCTGCGTTTACCAGGAGGAACATAGCTCTTATTGACTGATACAATGTAGGCGGCCAATATGAAGCACAATTTGATTTCTGTCCTTAGGCTAGCCGACAAGGGTTATGAAATAAAGTTCAAGTCTGGTCGGGTCACCATTGGGAAGCATTCTAGAGCATTGGTTTATGGTACTAAAGTTGACAATTTGTACCGACTGAATATTAATGAAAGGTCATCCTTTTCTGGTTATATTGATGCCTCTTTTGATGCTTATGTATGTATGGATGATCCATATTTATGGCACTTAAGATTAGGACATATAAAATAAAGACAAAATGAATCAAATGTTTAAAAGATGCATGCCCCCCAATTTAAGAGAAATTGTATTCAAAACATGCGCGCCATGTATTTCTTAGTAAATTAACTAAGAAGCTTTTCCCTAAAGGGAAAAGGTCTAGTGAACTACTTAGTATTATTCACTCTGATATATGTGGCCCATTAAATGTAAAAACACATAGAGGTATGGAATATTTCAGAACATTTATAAATGATTATTCGCAGTATGGATATGTATACCTAATTAGTAAAAAATCTGATGCATTAGAAACATTTAAAGAATATAAAGCTATGTTAGTAGCTAAAGGATTTACTCAAAGGGAGGGTATAGATTATGTAGAGACTTATTCTTCTGTAGCAAAATTTTCATCGATTAGGATTATCCTAGTATTAATTGGATATTATGATCTAGAATTATTTCAAATGGATATCAAAACAACTTTCTTAAATGGAGAATTAAAAGAAGATATATTTATATGAAACAACTAGAAGGGTATGTAATTAAAGGCCAAAGAGACACATTAGATAAACTTAAAAAATATTTATATCGTTTAAAACAGTCTTCTAGGCAATGGTACTTTACTTTTTATAATGCAATCACTGAAATTGGTTATATAGCCAATAGGTTAGATTATTGTGTATATGTCTGGAATAGTGGGAGTAATTTTGTTATATTGTCACTATATGTGGATGATATTTTGATAGCAGGTAATGATAGTGGCATGATTAACCATATCAAATCATGGCTAAGTTCTCATTTTGAGATGAAAGATATGGGAGAAGCCTCATATGTATTGGGCATTAAGATAACAAGAGATAGAAGTTCAAGACCTCTATGTTTATCTCAAAAAAATTATTTAGAAAGTATTTTAAAGAGATTTAAGATGGAAAATTATAAGCCCATAGATAAATCAGTTTGTAAAAGCTTAAAATTGTCCAAAAAAATGTGTTCATGAAATGAATGTGACAAAGCTGAAATGGAAAGAATTCCATATGCTCAAGTTGTAGGATGCATAAATCATGTCATCTTGTGTACAAGACCTGATTTGAGTCATGCATATGGTTTTGTACGTAGATTTCAGAGTAATCATGGAATGGCTCATTGGCAAGTCAGACAAGATACTTAGATATATTCAAAAAACGAAAAATTACAAGTTGTGCTTCCAAGCTAACAACTTAGAGGTTACTAGTTACTTTGATGCAAACTTTGCAGAGGTGATAGAAAATCACCACTAGGATCTACATTCTTCTTTGGAGGTAGATGTTGTTTCTTAGTCTCAAGAAACAAGATTGTGTAACTCGATATACCATGGAAGCCAAGTATATTGCTTATAGCATTGCTACAACTTATGCCGTCTGGATTAAACGCTTCATAAATAATTTGAAACTGGATATAGCCGACGGACCTATTAAATTGTTTTGTGATAATCAAGCTGCTATCTCATCAATTAGAAATGGAGTTTATAGTTTCAAGGGTAAGCACATTGAAATTGATTATCATTACATTTATGATATTATTGGAAAGAATGAAATAATTGTAAGTTATTTACTATCTTCAAATATAATTGCGGCCTTTTTAACAAAGGAATTGAGTGTAGAAATATTATCAAAGCATGTAGCGTTGATGTGATTTAAAAATATTTAAGTCAGGAACTTCCAAATGGGATATTTTTTGAGATCTTGGTCATGAGAAAAAAAACAACATTAGTATAAAAAACCCATGACATGATTTTGGATCTGTTTTTTTGTTATGAAATCTATAACCGTACTAGCATGAAAAGCTTCATAACAAGGATATGCTCATAAATGTTAAACCCATTAAATGGTATTATATTAATATATATCTAGCCTTCATGGCCAAGTGGGAGATGTTGGTACCTATGGGTGGCTATAGAGCCCTCATGCATGCTATTTTTTCTTTTTTTAATCTTTATCATAAAGATTATATTTATCACTAAAATAAGGGCTTTTTTTAGAAAGAAGATATTATCTAACGGATAGATGATAACTACCCACCTCCCAAGATTATGGACCACGTTTCTCAGAGTTTTCAAGAGAAAGACGAATATTGGAGAACGGCCTCCTCCATCCCCCTATAACTAGGCCTTTCATGGCCATAGAGAGGCAACACACAAAAAAGAGTCTTTGAATTCTCAGTGTTCTGGAAAACCCTGACCTCTGCGATCATCAGTCTCACGACGCTGCTAGTAATCTTGGGAGTTTTAGGGTCCATCTCTTCACTCATAAACCAACATTCATCACATGAAAACAAGTCAAATAATCAATAACCATAATCGATTCATCTCCAAGAGCTTTCACACAAGCATCAAGGCCCCATAAAACACTGCATATTCATCATGTTTGTAATAGGAAATAAATGTATAAATGCCACAATATGATCAGAAGATAACTCGGTTTTAAGCTGAATCACTCTAGTAAGTTTTTAACCTTTAGCGTCCAACCTCACTCAGCATGTATACATACACACGCAACACCTCCAAATGCTAAAATTTCTGGATTCGACTGTAAAATTCTTCTCAGAACAGTATGGAACTTCGAGCTAGCTGTTCTCTCTCTCTCTCAAAAAGCAGCCCTCACAGTCATAAGGCATGTTATATTGTCAGTACTGGAAGACATTATCCACGGTAAACTTACTTCTGATGTTGTAATGATCAAACTTCGGATCTCCATAATCCACTGATTTTATTTCCATGGGCTTTGGTTCTCTCTCTGAAGCTCCAAATGTAGCCTCCCTGCTTCTATGATGCCTTTGGCTCTTGGAACTGTGCTGAACATATCGAGAAGCCTCCGCTGACCCTGATACATTGGCTGCATCTTGTCTTCTTGACTTGTGTTTACATGGGAGATTAGGATCCTTTAACCCACTTGATTTCTTCTTTTGAGAAGAAGCCTTGTATTTTGAGGTGTAACTGTTGTTTGCATCAGAGGATTGAATGCTTTCAGTCATGGGCCATGAGCTTCTTTGTTTTTGAAGCGATGCTGCTTCTTTTATATCATCCTCAGGCATCACGAGGTTGTCCAGTGGACTTAGGAAGGTCTCCTTAGGCCTTAGAAAGGGTATGGAGTGGTAGATGTTTTTGACCTTTTCGGTTAGGAATCCCAGCAAATTGGAGACATACCCGAAAAAGGATGGTTGCGTGCTAACTGGAAAGTTGTTTAAGTCTTTAGGGTACTTGGTTTTCTCTTCTTTTGATACCTCTTGCCATTCATCTTCATAGTGACTTCTCTGCTAAAGAAAAGGAAAAAGAATAAACAAAATAAAAAGAGTACAAGAAAAAGGTGAAAGTATGGCATGCATTTCACAAAACAAAAGAATGAATTCATTGAGATTGTTTAAAGCGATTTTAGAAACAATAAACCTTGGAGACATTTGAAGAACTAAATCCTTGGTGAAGAAAGCACGAGACATAGCCCACCAACAGTGCACCAGCAACTATAATGATATCTGCAAAGAAACCCCAACATGCTCTTAGTTCCATTTTAGGATACTTTAATACTTACTACTCTAGACCCATTTAACCCAGATATGAATGTAGAGCAGATCTAGATAAAGAAATAGTGTTGAGACAGAGTAACTGTGTCTACTGGGAAACTAATGTAGAGGGGAACAATATAAAGGGATTTTGCACATCGCATATGTTATAATGAATGTATGGTTAGTATTAAGATAAAAATGAGAAACTGACAGGGCCAGACAATTGCTGAGGTTTAATGAAGACAACTTCAAGTTGAGATGCCTTGCGGTGGGTCTTGAATGTCCTGGAAATATATATACCTGGGATTGTCAACTTTGAGTTTAGTTACATTTTTTTTTTCTTTTATTTTATGTGTTCACTGCTGTATTGAGTGAAAGAAATTACAAGAGATTAGGCAAGCCACAGACCTGATGCCCCTTACAAAAACGCCCCAAGGTCCCAAAAATTGTTACAATCAGTGTATTGAACAAATGATAACAAAAAATGGGGATCAAGTGTTCAACCTCCAACTTTCCCCCTTTCTCCGAGATCTGTAGTGGCCCAGGTTTGGACATCTTTTGCGCCCCCAAAGGTGCAGGCCTTCAGCTGGATAGCCTGTTCTGAAAAGACTCTCAACGGTGGATCAATTACAACGGAGGGGTGTCCTGATTCCTAACCGGTGCATGATGTGCACTAACAATGAAGAATCAAACTCCCACCTATTCATTCATTGCAAGTTTGCCTCTGAACTTTGGAGTCTTTTACTCCGACTTTTTGGACTATCGTGGGTAACCCCTCCCTCCATTCCGGTCCTCTTCAATATGTCAAGCGATACCACGTGGCCTTCCGCTGGGAGACTACTCTGGAAAACCACAATTGCTGCTACCATTTGGGCAATTTGGACGAAGAGGAACTCCAAAGTTTTAGAGGAACCAAGTGTGAGGCTCATAGCTTGTTCCACAAAATCACCTCAGATCTTGCCTTTTGGGCTTCCAATCACAAGGCCTTTAAAGGATTCCCCACCTCCTCCTTCTACAACCAGTGGAAGGAAATCTTACTAACCCAGTCGCCCAGGGTGCACAGGTCGAGCCATTGGTCCCCTCCCCCGGAGGGCCACACCAACCTTAACTACGATGGGTGCTCTTTAGGAAACCCAGGCCCGGCAGGAGTAGGTGGAGTCTTCCGAGACCACCTAGGTACTGTATTAGCCAGCTACTCTGAAAACATTGGTCTTGCAGATTCCCAATTGGCAGAGGCCTGGGCAATGCTAACTAGTCTCAAGCTCTTCGACCACTCCGGGGGAGAAACCTCTCCTTGTGGAAGGAGATGCAAAAAATGTTGTTTCTTGGGCAGGGCAGCAGGATATGGAACACTCCCATGGTACTTGGCTTCAATCTTTGACGAGATTACTCACATTTGCAGGGATATTGTCGTCTCTTGGAAGCATATCTGGAGGGAATCCAACGAATTGGTGGACCACCTAGCGATAAATGGAGCAGGAGCTGATTCCTCGGACCTTTGAGTTGCTGTATTTTGGCCTTATTCTTCTCTGTCTTTTGTAAGGGCCAACTGTTGTGGCCAGTTTTTGGTTGTTTCCTGTCTTCCTTGGTTGGGCTTTTTGGTACATAGCCTACCTTTTTTGTACAGGAGTACCTTTCATGGTACTCTAATTCTTTTTTGGGGGCTTTGGGGGCACATGGCCTAACTCGTGGGTCACCTCTGCCAAACATATGTATTTTTGTCTCTCTAACAATACAACAGTTAATAGTGTCAAAAAAAAAAAATGGGGATCAAGTGCTAAAAAAACGCACTCAAAGGGTCCTCTGTGCATCTGCCTGTGTTGCTCCTGCTAGTGCAGCTCCGCCTTTAGCGAGGGTGTTGGCTGCCGCATTGGCTTTCCTCCATGTATGCCTTCAAAAGACGTGAATAAGCTTGCAAATTTGGAAAATCTCTTTAAAAATATGGTCCAGCCTCCAAAGGAAAGGTGAGGTTCCTAAGGCCCATGCCAATACATTTTTGGAGTCCCCTTTGATAAACAAAATTGGGCACCAATTGAGGTTGAAGTTCCCAAGGCCTTTGAGAAGAGCTAAAGCCTCCCCCATAGTGGACTTATTGTATCCAATGAAATGGGAGTATGAGAAGAGGGTGCAGCCGTATTTGTCTCTGAATATGCCCCCTATGCCTGCTGGGTCTGGGCTACCCCGGGAGCAGCTATCAAAGTTGAGCTTGGATTGCCCGGGCTTTGGTGGTCTCCAAAGAGAGGCGCGAGTGATGCGGATGGCCCATAGGTTCAGCATTACCAGCCAGTTTTGATGAAAGTCTAAGTAAAAGAAGTGCTTGAAGGTTTGCTGCTTTTTGCCCAAAAGATGACCAGGTTTTGACCCTGTCTTTCAAGTCCTCAATGGTGGCTTTTCACTCCGCAAAAGATCCTACTATTCCTCTTGGTCCAAATGACCCTTAGCATGGATGCCATGGAAGCTCTCCACAGGAGGATCCCCAACTTCGACCATGGTGGGGAGAGGAAGGAGCGAAAGAAGCGGAGGATCAAGGGCGGAGTCATCCACGACCAGTTGAAGAGTTGTAGGAGATCGCCCCAAAGGGTTCTTGCAGTGAAGCAGGGGATAAAGAGATTCGAATTGGTTTCTTCCTCCATTATGCACATTGTGCATCTATTTGGAATTTGCAATCCCCTTTATGAAGTTGACAAACTGTAAGGGCTCTCTCGGATACTGCTATCCAACTGAACACTTGGGCTTTGGGAGGGACAAGGGAGAACCAAGCTTTGGTGGCGATAGACAGGGGTTGCGCAGGCAAGGATGGCGGCAGTAGGAGTGCGCAGTAAAAGCAGGATATCGAGAATACCCGAGGGAGCAGGTTACTAAATGATCTTATCAGTGCCTTCAAGTGGGAAGAAGACTTACTGAAGAAGAAAGGATAGAGTTGGGATATCTACCATTTCGTGGTCTGCCAGTGGCTTCCTGAAGTTTGGATTCTATACACTCGTGATGCCCAAAGTTTCAAACTGGTCGGCCACAGTTGCTGGGGGGTCTCTAGCTAAAAGGAACAGGTTGTCAAGCGGTCCCTCAACAGGGAATGGCCTATTCAAAGGTCAGACCAGAAAAGGATTATGTTTCCAGCCGGAGTGTGGAACCATATGTTGGCTTTGAAAGGGTTGTAGCTGCAGAGCAGAGTACATATGTTGATCAACAAGATGGATCTACCTTAAGAGTGGCCTCATTTTTTTTCTTTCCAATTGTTGTACTAGATTTGTTTATGGTTTCCAAGCCTCAATGCTACATTAAAACCTAGCATATCCCTCCTTTTTATGTTTAATTCGAAAATTCAGACATTACAATCCCAGCAAGATATAGATAGCAACATTAAGGCGGGAAAGATGTTCCCATGCTTCTTAAATTTGAGCTCCCACATGCTGTTCACCCCCACCCCCCGAAAAAAAAAAACAAAGAAAGAAAGAATGCCTCCTAAGTGTTTGAATTAACTGCCCTAACTAGGATTGATCTCTCTCTTTTTCTCTCTTCCTTTTTCTTTTGATGAAGTTAACATTGTAATCATAAAATATGACCCCAAAGAATGGGGCTTGTATAAAAAATTAGGCTCACCAGTAGGGAGCCCTGTACAAAATGAGGAAAAGACGAAAAGAGAAGATGGCGCTGCGCTTCACCAGCCAAAAGTAGTGACTGAGGCTGCAAAAAATTATTCAGTTGAGTATTAGCACTTTCTTTGGCAAGTGAGTCAGCATGTGAATAGTAGCTCCAAACATGATCCAAGTTACTACGAGGAACGAGCAGAGGTGGGCAATTTCTTCGAAGATATGCGCTAGGTACCAGGGATAGGTGGCAGAAGCAGCTCCCCAACGAATTACATTGATAAGAGTCACCTTCAATAATGAGGATAGAGGACCAACTGCGGCTGAAATGTCAAAGGCCTTTGATCTCTCTCTCTCATTCCCTCTCCCCCCTTTTTTTTCTTTTCTTTTTTGGTGTGTGTGAGCGTGTATGTGTGTTCTGGTGAATTGACTTTGGTATTGTTGTGGTAGAAGTGTACATATGCCACTTTGTGGGCTTACACAATTGGCTAGTGCATTTTCTAATAAAAATGCTTGGCACCAAGGCATAGTTAGGTTTGGTGTCTGGATATGCAGGGTTGTGTCTGACACAGGCCTTTGAGGAACGTTTGTTTCGCATGAAAATATTTTTTGGAAAATATTGTCATGTGAAAAAATTCCCTATTGTGGTTCGGTGGGGGAATATTTTCATACCAATTAGCTGCCAATTGATGTGAAAAGATGCACAGGGACCAATTGTTGTCAAAATATTCCTACACCTAACCAAGAAATTCTTTCATGTGAAATCATTTCCTAGAAACTATTTTCACACGAAACAAACGTTGGCGACAAAGCAGCTGATGCACCATGGCAGATGGCCTGTGGCTGGAAAAGGGGAAAGAAAGGAAGAGCTGGGAGGCCAAAGCAGGTGTGACCCAATACCATCCAAAGAGGTCAACATTGAAAGACCGTATTTGTGATGCAAAGTTGTAGTGTGCGAATAGCTGGATAGTGGGTTCTTCAAGGCCCTTGCAGATGGTGGAACTATTGGATGCCTCACGTCTTGACATGTTCTAGGGTCAGCACCTTGGGATAAGACCAGTCAACTGAAGGCCGGAACGGGGATAAGGTGTGCACACCTAAAAAAGTTGGTGGGTTGGGGAGCAAAAAGCTACAAGACTGCAACAAAACACTCTTCTGCAAATGGAGGTGGCATTTTGCGACCCAACATACCAATCTATGGAGGATGCTGATTTGACATAAATATGGTTTGGAGACGACACTGGCAGTTCCCCAATGTACAGCACAACGCCTGTGCTTCAGGGCATGAGGAAGTATCTGGGAAAACCACTCTGAGTTCATGGCGAGGGTTACATTCAGTACCAGACATCCATGAAAGCCACTCGAAATCATGGCGAGGATTAG